TGTCCTTATAAACGGACGACTGTACAGGAGGTCCTCCATGCTCCCCTACCTACATTGCCTATGACTCTCAAAAGCTGAGTTCGTACTTTGCGATATCCATGAGGGGTTATGTGGAGGACACTTGGGGGGTAGGGCGCTCGCCGAAAAGGCATTAAGGCAAGGCTACTATTGGCCTACTATGAAGGTAGATGCAGTCAATCTCGTCAACAAATGCGACAGATGTTAGAGGCATGCCAACATCTTCCATCAGCCAATCACCGATCTACAGTACCTGACTAGCCCGTGGCCCTTCACACAGTCGGGAATCGACATCCTTTGTCCATTTCCGCCGACAACCAAGCAGAGAAAGTTCTTGGTCATGGCAGTGGACTACTTCACGAAGTGGGTGGAAGCCGAACCATTGGTAACCATCACATCCCGGAACGTGCAAAATTTCTTTAGGAAAAACATTGTGTGCCATTTTGGACTACCCAAAGTTTTGACCTCGGATAACGGAAAAGAATTTAAGGACATTAAATTCTAGAATTGGTGTACCGAGATGGGGGTTCAGCAAAATTTCACTTTGGTAGCACACCCACAAGAAAATGGATAGGCCGAAGTGATGAACAGGGCTATCCTCCGCAAACTGAAAGCTCACCTTGCGCAAGCTAAAGGGTTGTGGGTGGACGAACTGTCCAGTGTCCTTTGGGCCTACCGGACTACCATCTAGACTGCGACTAGTGAAACACCCTTCAACCTTACATATGGGACAGAAGTTGTAATTCCGGTAGAGATTGAAGTACCGATGTTGCAGCTTGGAGCATACGACAAAGAGGTGAACAATGACAAGCTCCAAACTAACTTAGACCTGGTTGAAGAGGTACGCGACCTAGCCCACATTCGAATTGCGACTTACCAACATCAAATAGCTTGGTATTATAATGCTCGGGTCAGGATGCGACTATTCCAAATTGGCGACCTAGTCCTCTGTAAGGTAATGGTGCCTGAGCCCGACGTGAGTAATCTCGGTCCGAACTGGGAAGGTCCATGGGAGGAAAATAGGTACCCTGAGCTTGGAACATTTACAACCTAAGGAGATACTATCTGTGAAACCTCAATGCAACTGAATAATGACTAAGTCCATAGGATCACCGAGCTGATCCTAAGGACAACGAATTAGAGAGAGGACCCTACGTCACTCCCAGAAGCCTAAGGGCTATGGTGCCGAGCTGACGAGAGACCTCGACATGATGTAATACCTAGTCGCCTCTTCGGCATAGGTAGATTAAGACCCAGTCGCCTCTTCGACATGGGCTTGGTAAGACCTAGTCGCTTCGGCATGGGCAACCGAAAACCCCAATCGCTTTGGCATGGGTAAGGCAAAAGTAGCCTAGGCACAGATAGGTCGGGCATATACCCTATAGTGTCTGTCCACCCTAGTGTACAATGATGTTGGATTTCATTAGAAAAATTTTGGCACACAAGAAATTATTGAATTGGTTTATTTCATTAATAAAGCACTTCGGGTACATAGCAAAAAAAAAAAAAACAACAAAAAAGAGAACAAGAATAGAAAGATTACAACTATATAACCGAGCTCGGAGGCTTAAGACATTGAGTATGTACAGAGAGGTCCAAGAAAAGAGGCAAGTGATATCAGTTAACTTGGGGTTCTCCATCCCCAACAGAAGCATCAGCAAGCTGATCTGTCTCCATATGGTCCTCGACAACACCTTGTCCCTTTCCCTCTTCTGTTGTCTCATCGCTGAGGAGGTTGTCATTGCTCTCCTCTTCGGATTCTGGGTCTTTAGTAGCTTTGACGGCCATCTCCTTGGTGATCTTCGACATCGTGATGGCATTGAGGTCGAGATGAGGGAATTCACGTCGGGTCAACCATCTACTAAGCTTAAAATCTTTGTGGTAGCCCAATGCCCAACCTCAACCAACAGCTTGCGATGTTCCGCCGAAGACTTGTACTCCTCACCGGCCTTGACCTTGGCCTCCTCCATTGCCTTGAGTAGAATATCAATCCGCTCCTTCACCAGTGCCTCAAAGTTCTCGTTCTCTCTCATAAGATTTGCCTTGCACTCCTCCAGCTCCTCTGCCATCAACAGAGTCAGCAATTCCTTAGCTCTAGCATCTTTTTTTAGTTGGTTGATCTCGTTGCGAGTTAGGTTTAGTTCGAGTGGGCACTTTGGGAGGACTCCTCGGCATCGAGAGCTCGTTTCAGGTTCACCTTGGATTGGTAGGCCAAGGCATGGATCGAAGAATTCACTTGCCAAGAGAAGAAACAAAATCCAAGTATAGAGAAAAATCTAAGTATAATATATTCCAAAGGTTGAGTATGTACCACCATACAGTGAGTTGCTGCTCTGGCCCCGAGCTGAGCGACCGGTAAATTAGCCCAACAAGCAACCTCCTCGGCAAAGACAATGTCCTTGCTCTTGAGGAGACCGAACTTTGGAGTCAAGATGCTTTGAGCTAAGGCGTCGCTACTCGATGGGGTGGTCGCCTGGGCGTGCTAGGGCTCGAAAGATGTGGTCTCCTCGAGCAAGTGGGGCAGGGAAGCTTTACCTTGGTCCTCCTCAACCAAGTCAATCACTGGCAACTGCTCAGCAACCGATGGGTGCTCAAGGACGGTGTTGCCAATGTCAGAGATGGTGGTCTCTTCATGGAGGTGAGCCTTCTTGGAGGCCCTCTTCTTCTTCTTCCCCTTTTGCATGCCCCCGAAGAGCTCGTCAGTGGGGATGTCAGCCATGGTAGCTACAAAAGGCGACGGACAAAGTAAGCATAAGATTAATATAAAGCAAGACAAGGAAAACAAGTATAGCAGTTGTGATGACGACCTACCATGAGGACTTAACCCGGCTTGCACGAGCTTCTCTTCAGTCACAAATTTCTCGAACTTTAGCCCAAGCATCACCTAAGATCGGACTTCCTCCCGTGTCTTTTGGTCTAATCTGACGCCGAGGTCCTGGATGGCAGCCCTCTAGTGAGTTGGAAACGGCCACCCCTCAGTGTTACGGGCTACAAAATAACGCCTCTTCTAGGCCCGGACTTTGTTTGGGAGCTCATGCAACAATTTGTACCGGGGGCGAGGAGACATGTAATAGCTTCGCTTGTGCAAGGGGAGAATACAAGCTGAATTTTTCTTGATAGAAAGGATTGAGGAAAAGGTGTCGAGGTCTAGGGGTTAGTTATAATCATGGAAAAGGGTGATGGTGCCTACAATGTTATGGATAGAATTCGAATGGAGCTGGTCTATGGCAATGTCAAAAAATTTGACGATCTCAACTATGAAGGGATGGAGTGAGAAGAGTAGCCCAGCTATGAGCTGCTCCTCGAAGACCACGATCTCGTCATGATCGTGATCCCAAGGAAAGTTACCTAAGGGAATGATGTATACTAGGTCGTTGGGTAGCCTATACCGAGCTACAAAGGATAGGAGCTTGTCCCATGTCATAGAAGATAGGCCGAAGCTGTCCGGAAATCGACCCCGATACGAAGTGGAGGCCGAGGTGCCCACTTCGGCAGGACAAGACTTCGGCCCACACCGAGGTGCCCACCTCGACCCTAGCGAACTCACTGCTTAGAAATGGGCCCTTCGGCCCCTATTTATAGCCACCATATCCGAGGATCAATGGTCAAGATCTGCATGATCTAATAGCTCCCATGAAAATCAGTTCCATGCCACCCGAGGTTGAAATCAGTTGAGCGTGCGTTTTGACGTCCATGGAGTTTATATTTGGTGTGACGTCCGCACGTACCTGATACATGATCTGGGTCATTTCCTGGTCGAGCCAAACGGTCATACAGGTTCAACCGAAGGTCCACCCTCTGTACCACCTAGACATCGTGCCAAATCCACTTGGGCTCGTCGTGAACTCCTCGTGCTGGGTTAGGACCCTTGGCACGAGGAGTGGGGGGGGGGCAATTGATGAGGTGTGATTTGGCCCGACCTAGTAAGTAAAGGACGTGTGGACACCACCTACCAGTAGGATGACAACTCAGCAAGGAGAACCTAGTCAGCAGTTCGGGAGCCCGGGTGTTCGGGCACCTCGGCACAGAGCCACCTCAACACCAAAACCACTTCAGCACCCAAGTACTGAAGTGACACGTAATCAAACCCAAAAGCTTCTCGGCAGACTTCGAATCTCCCAAGATTACGCCACGTAACGGCAAGCCTATCCTCTCCTCACCCGGATCGGACGGTAACAATAGACTTCATTGACTGCTACATTACTCTCCTTCTAAAGCGGAAATAGATTTCATCTACGCGGACCAAGGATCCCAGAGTCATTTCGTGAGACACACAACAACTCAACCATATAAGGGCATCAACTCCCTAGGACCCAGGTATGCGCGATTAAGTGCATTCTATCTCTCCTACTTCTCAAACTCTCAGCTCGCTATACTATTACTAACTTAAGCATCGGAGCAACCTCACTGGATTAGCCACCCCGGGTTCTCTAATACATCCATTTCTTTGCATTTCGAGCGATCTACTTGGCAACAGACGTCTGAGCTGCCCTACAGCTAAAAGCATCCAGATCGCGCACCATCACTTACTATTTCTGCTAAAGGGGAAATTATTTCTATGTTTTCTCTTCCTTCATAATAACAATCAATTTTTAACCAACCAAAGACCACAAGCCTCCCTGAACTTATTATTAACTAGGTTAATATTTTCATACTTTACTGATTAAATCGCAAAATTTAAGCAGCATGCCAATTTATGGATGTAGTAGACCTTGTGCTATTTCGTATCTACATTACAAACATCTGATAATGCTGTCATATTGTCAATGTTTGGTAGAGTTCAACTTTAACAGAAGAATCAATTTATATTCAAGTTATGAGTGTCTTTGAGCATGCATTTTTGCTTGTTTTTTGGACAGCATTCTAGATGGATTTCCATGAGTCTTCATGTTTTCTGATCATGGGTGATTTTTTATGTAGAAGGATGTTGAAAGTCTTGAGCATCAAAGAATATGAATGTACATAGTCATGCCAATAAACATATTTATTTTCTCAACAATATATCCCAAGAAAATGTTTATATCATGATTAGAAGATGTTACCAAAGTACCAAGTACCTTAAGATAGTTGACATCATGTTTCAGGCAAACTGCATTACATTAGAACAAAGTAGCCAAATAAAAGGAGCAAAAAGTCAAAAACATTATTGCAAGAATTGGCCTTTCTCAAGCCATATGAACCCAAGTTGCTGTGGAAGGAAGTACATATGGAATGAGGTTCTGCGTATTTCCATCCATCATATCTATAACATCAACACCACAAGATTGGTCATTTAAGTAAAACAACCGATCATTCGGTTCCAATTCCCCATATAAATGATAAATTTTCATACCAAACGACTTTGCAGAAAAGCAAGTATACCTACCAAGAAACCAATTCAAGTTCTTAACTTCATTAATATTCAACTCCTCCCAAGCATTCTGAGCATTATTCAATCTGAAAAACCTAAATGAGCTTAAATTTCTTACTTGAAGAATCACAACCTCCCCTTCATGCTCCCCCATGTAACTTAGCTCAAATCTACTGGCTAAATCAGGTAATTCTGTCCATGTCTGATCTCTCATATTGAAAATAATCATCCCTCCTGTTGCACTGAAGCAGTATACATGCACTCCAAGTACATGTAAACCACCAAATCCCGAATATGGCATACTCTGGCCATTGTAGGAATACTTGACCCATGCTTTATCACCTGGCTTAGCTATTTGAAGAGTTATTTGTGTAGGGTCATTATACTCAAGAAGAACTACATAGTGAGGGTAGCCATCAAAGGTGGAGAAAGATCCAGCATATGGATCTTTTGGTTTTACAATGTCTGGCATCTCCAATTCAGTTTTAGTAAAGGGGTTATACAAGAACACAGAATCTGGCAACCGTTCGGCCTTTATTCTTTGCAGGGAATCTTTGAACCACCTTAGTCCATTCCTTCTTTGTAAAAGCAACCACCCTTGTTTTGAGTAAATGCTTTTGGTTCCATTGAAGAAGTTAGGGAGCTTAATGGTGTATTTCTCCTTCTTTGAAACACTAATGAATACAAGCTTACTTCTTTCTGAATTCCTAGGGTACATGACCCAAGGTAATGTGTCTCCAGCAGACTGAAGCTTCTTGGGGCAGTTTGCAAATGCAAAAGACCAATTATGACAAACAGCAGCTAGCCGCAGGTTATCAACAAAATCTAGATGCTCCATAATCATCCATAGGAGAAGGTGTGGAAGTTCAGACCAATTTTCTTCAGCTGTGAGGCTATGATCTTTTTTATCATTGAACTCTTCTGCAGTCTCTGAAGAGATATATCCAGCATTTGTCATTGTCATTATTTTTGAGGATACAACCTTGAGCCCCTGAGTAAGACAACATCTTTTGATCATTAATGGTGATGAGATACTAATTTTCTATGTTTACCAAATCTGGACAAGGAACAGAAGAAACGAGCATTGCATTTAATATTCAAAATATAATGGGAAAAGAGGCTAAAGGGCTATAATATATAGTATTCTATAGATCAGTTCTATGAACCTTCTGAGTTCTTATCTTGCAACGTAGCCAACAAACAATGTTATATATTACCTAGGCATTAAAATCTTCAGGCTCAGTTTGGAAAGAGTACAAATACAAATATGCACAGTGCAAATACATAGAAAATAATACAAAATACAAGGTTTTGTACTCTACAAATTTGTATTTGTACTCCTTCCAAACTGAGCATCAGGTGATTATAGGGATTAGATTTAAATATATATGCTCATATGTACTTAAAATTTATATTATATCTATAATTTCTATTGGATATATTATATCTATCATTAAGGCTGTGTTTGGTTTGAAGGAAAAGGTAGGGAAAGGCAGGAAAATCTATACAAGGTTTGTACATGTTTCCCTTCCTTTCCTTTCCCTAACTTTTCAGTGAAGATTCTGCAATTTAGTGAAAATTTCACAAGTAATTTAGTATTCTGGTGACAATTTTTCACTGAATTGTCAAAGGGTCAAGTTTTGCACAAATCATTTTGTTCGTAAAATAGATTTTTTACTCTGACAACTAATGAACTTTGTAAAGAGGCCACTTTAGACCCTAATATTTTGATCAGTTTTAGTCTCATTTATTTATGCTATTTGGTATTCTTTTTTTTTTTTTTTGCAGCCCTAGTATTCATTACTGTTAATTGGGTTAACATTGGTGTGTATAACGTTTGATGCTTCAGCCATGGACCAAAGAAGATTGTGCGAAAATGAACTTCAAATGGAATGCGAACCACTGAAAGGGAGAAAGAGAGAACTTGGTGATATAGAAAGAGAGAACTGAAAGGGAGAAAAACAACTTTGTTGCTTTTAAAAGTTTTGGTCAATCATGAAAGAGTTCTGGGGTGGAAAATTTTAATTTTGTGGTGAAAGCATTGCTTTGCACCCCTTTTACATTGAAACAGATGCAGACTAAAGGAGAAAAGAAAACCAAGAACGAAATAGGAAGAGCACAAAATGCATCAAAGTTTGCATGAGTTATATATGCTTAAAAGTTGAAATATATATATATATATATATATATATATATATATAACATAAATTTTCATGAGAAATTCTGGCAGAGCAATAAATCATATGCTTCTCCATAAAACAATTTACACTTCATATTCATATTCAAATTTCAATTTTCAAAGAGCTGGAATCAACAGGAACTAATCCTAAGATGTGACTGTCAGACCCATTCTTCCGATACAAACAAGAAAAAGCAATTTGGCTGCTCGGAGCCTTTTTCCTCAAAACTGCACCTAAATGGAAAGGTTGAAGAAAAAAAGGGGAGTTGTGTACTCAAAATCAAAATCGGGGATACCATGAATCAGTTCATGACCTTCACTAGTATTTTAAATAGGATTTGTCCCAAAAAACAAAAAGGATTTCAGGCATTGTCTGGAGACTTACCAATTCTAGCAGCAGCAGACAGTTGCAATGGTCGTCGGAATTCCTAAGCAGGGGAATCGATGGCAACTCTCTCTCTCTCTCTCTCTCTCTCTGTTATCTACACGATGATCACTTAAATAAAAAGGATTGGAAGAAAGAGGAAACGTAGATGGATAGAATTTTTAATTGCAAACAAACGTGAAGCATTAGAATTCATGGTGGTACCGGTACCGAGAGTCTTGGGGCTAATAGAGTGTCGTACTAAAGCTATATTTTCTCACCATGAACAGTGTCAGGGTCGACGACTACTGGAGTGGGCCCCTCTTAATAATAATCTGGAAGACAATTCAGATCCGAAGAAAATCCATGCACAACTAATAAGTAGTAACTCTAGGTTCAAATCAGCCCCCCACAACGTTACACAGCACATCTCTGCCGTGTATTGAGAGCATCTTCCGATCATCACACCATCATTATGAGATTATCATTGGAAGATGTTCCCAATACACGAGAAGGATATACTGTAAGATGTTGTGGGGTGCAATCTTGTGGGGGGCTGATTTGGTCTCGCAACCTCTTGTCTATCATCCATGGTAGCAACAGCTTGGTGCGGATCATGGCCATTGGATTATTATTATTTGCACACTATGTTGCTTTTTGGTACGCTTGACAGTTTGATACAAGAGAAGAGATTGATCATCACCACCTTCCCTTTTGGTTTCTCTAGGCTTTTGGATTTTGAGAGGGAAAAAGTTAGTTAATGGGATTTTGGTAATGATTTGAACGGTTGGATCGCTCGGATTGCAACCGTCTAGGTAACACTGATTAGGGTGCAAATGGATCGGATCATGATATGATTCAAGATTCGATCCTATTTGATTGAATTTGGATCACTCTTGTTTGGATCTTCATATTGGATTGGATTGCATAATAGGAAACAGTCAGAAATCAGATCGGATTCGGATCATCCCTATCCGATCCGATATATATTATATTTATAAATAGAAATGTATATAATACATATATATATATATGTTATTTATTTATAAATATATTTTAATAAATTTGTTATATTATTTATTTTTTTTATAAAAAACATGCATATATATGATGAAAACAATTAAAAAATACTTGTATTTTTTGTTTTTACTTTATTTAAATTAGAATATTTTATTTTTCTTTTAATAATTTATTAATTTTTAAAGAAAACAAGTCGGATTGGATCAAATCCAAAGATTCGACTTATTGATAGGATTCAAATTCAAATTGAGTCCTATCAAATCCAATCGGATCCGATCTGACATGAACAATATCGGGTCATATTCGAATATACTCTTATTCAAATCCGATCCGACTCGTTTAAATCCCTACAACTGGTTCCATTTTACCCCAAACCTAGCCCTAGTCAAAAACCATTGTAAGGGTCAACTGGTTGTTGACCCATTCAATGGTTTTTGGTCATTTCCCATTCAATGGTTTTTGGTCGTTATTTATTTATTTATATTTTTTATTTTTTATTAAAATAGGTCATCCGTTTGAACCGAACGGTCGAACCGTTGACCTAGAAACTAGTGGCCAAAACAGCTCTAATTATAGGTCAGTTTTAAAAACATTAGATTTTGGTTTCCATTAACTAATATATCAGATTTTTTTAGACTAGTAAGTGTGCACGTGCTTTGCACATGATAATTCTAAATGATGATAATTATAGTAATAATGTATCTACATTTTTCTATAAACTTTATGTATTTTTTATTTTTTGCTTTTATATTTTTTTTATCATTAATCGGATGTGGATTGAAAATCCAAATCTAATTACATAAACATCTCATCCAAATATGTGATTATCGGATAGAGGTGTGAAGTTTCAAGTATCATTGATAGGCCTATTTGCTTGGCTAGATTATTATTTGTTTTAATATTTAATCTTTTTGGTCTATCTTTTTTTTGTTCATTTATCAAAAACTATAAGATTTAAATAGAGGGAATTGAATGGGGTGAAAAGTAGTAGTTCAATTTACAATTTAAACATCATAACTAAATATTAGTTTAAAGATAAAATTATAGGTGTGTTCAATTTTTTCTATAATTTTTTTTTTGTATTTTTGTGTGTAAAAATAATTTTAATATGCCACACTTAATTTTAATTTTTTTTAATATGATAAATAAAATATATGATATTATACATGTACCTAAATGTTTTTTTTTTTTGCAAAATCTATGTATTCTTTTTCATTTTTGTATTTTATTAACTTATTTATTTATTTATGACATTAAAGGTTAACATGTTTGACCCAAAATTTGAACTATTGATCTTTGCCAAATAGTAAAATAATTTCATTTTTGGTCAGTTCAAAATTATGTATTTCATTTTCATTACCAATAAAAATAATTCTTTTTTATTACACTTATTGTTTTAATTCGATTAATAAAAATATCATAAATGTGTCAAATTTTTTCTACATTTTTGTAAGTTTCTATATTTATTTCTATTTTGAAAAATTTATTACTTAACTATGACTTCGTAGGTTGATCAATTTGATTCAGATGGTTCAATTTTTAGCCACCACTTGGATTAAAAATGGTTTTGTTTTTGAATTAGTTTTAAAATATATGGTTTTATATTGTTAAAAATATTGACATAGTTATAATTTAATAAGAGAAAATGGGAGTCATTAATTTAAGTATAAGAATTAATAACAGACGATTAAATGAGGTGAGAAGTAGTAATTGAAATTACATTTTCAACATTACCATTAGAGATGAACTAAATACACAATTATCGGCATTTTAGTAGCCACTAAAGTTGGCATTAAAGCTGTAATAAAATGACTTTTATACCCTTTCTCAAACAAAAAAAGTAAAGCGTAATTTTAGTCCAAAAAAGTTTCACATTGCATTCACACTTTTATATATAGTACTAGTGGGGCCCATGCGATGCACAAGAAAATCCAATATTCAATTGGACAAATGAAAAAGATCAATAGGAAAATAAAGTTGTGCGATGTATTGGCTTATGAGAAATCTTGGCTTGAGACCATGTGTGTGTGCACATATTTCCTACCTTGACTTACCTTGATGAATGATGTAAATGTTCATCTGCCATCTATTAACAAACATGAAGTAAAAGCTAACGTAGCTAGCAAGATGCCAACCAACTGGTTGATAAGGTCTCTCTAGCTAGTTGTAGTAGAGACTTGGAATTGAATCCCGCCTGCACTTGGGTTGGGAGGGTTATGGGTTGGGGGATGCATTACTCCCCGTTGTGTAGCCATTCAAAATAAATTAAAAAGAAAAAAACTAATGGTGATGCATAAAACCGTGATAAAAATAAATAAAAAGATGATACTTGTGTTCTAGTTACAATCTAGAATTTACATTCGTATATTTGTGATAAACACATCTACAATGGTAATAATCTATTTAAAAAAAATAAAAAAGTTGGTCTAAAAGTAGGTCTACCACAATGTGAGTTCCACCGACACCTAACTGTGGAGACTCAAAGCCTCCATATGTAGAGGGATGCTTAGTAACCATCTCAACTAATGGTTAAAAATTAAAACATAAAGAGATTCCTTGTATAAATTCAGCTAATCTTATATGGTCCAAATTCAAAATCACATTTGTGATTTGTGAACAAGAATCCAAAAATTACACCTTGTCCACTTAAATATTTGGAAACAAAAACATCGATGAATATTTATTTTTCCTTGCATGTGTGTTTTATGGAGTGATTCCATTAAGTTAAAGTAATTCCAGGCAACTAAGGCCATGTTTGGGAGTGCTTAAGTTAAAAATAAGTGCTTATTTGAATAAGCAGTTATTTGCATTCCAACTTTTTCAAGTGCTTATTTTTTTAAATAAGCACTTATTTTATATTGGGCATTTGGTAGTCTTTTTCTCTAATAAGCACTTAAATAAGCATTTGTAATTATTTTGTCCTTAATTTTCTTTCAAATTTTCAAAATATACCCTTTGAAAGTACTTTTATTAAATCACTTTTATAAAAAATACTTTTATGAAAGCACTTTTAAGAAGTTCCCTTTTGAAAGCACTTTTGTGAAAGTACTATTATGAAAGCACTTTTAAAAGTACTCAAGTGCTTTTATAAAAGTACTACAAAAGTGATTTCATAAAAGTACTTTCTTAAAAGTTCTTTCATAAAAGTACTTTCTTAAAAGTTCTTTCATAAAAGTACTTTCTTAAAAGTTCTTTCATAAAAGTACTTTTATAAAAGTGCTTTCACAAAAGTAATTTTTATAAAAGTTCTTTCGTAAAAGTACTTTTATAAAATTCAACTAGGGATAACTTTATAAGTGGTATTTTAAAATTCAACTATGGATAATTTTGAAAGAAAAAATTGAATAAGTTCTTATTGTATAAGCACTTAGGAAAAGCTAAAAAATTAAGCTTAAAAAATAAGCCCTTATTTTTTAAATAAGCACTTATTTTGGGCTTATTTGCCAAACACCTATAAATGCTTAATGATCCAAATAAGCACTTACTTTTAAGCACTCCCAAACATGACCCAAGTCTCCAAACAAAAGAATCTCTTGCGAGGCAACTAACCTAAAAAAGAAAAAGGCCAAGTCAATAATAAATAATAAATAAGTAAATAAAATAAACAATACCTATGGCATGCAAAAAGATTTGACTCAGACTGAGTCCATTAGGCCTTTCTTCAATGTTTTCCCTCCAAATACATAGATTGTCGCATTCCCCCCTCTCAAGTGAAATTTGACCCAATTTGTAACTCAGGCAAGAAATGCAAAAACGATTTCTTGGCCCATACCCAATATACATTAGGCAATCAAACTCCATTGGTTGTCAAGAGAACATAAGAAAGTGAAATAAACTAATAGCTTCCAAATCATTGTAATTATTATTTATTTTTCTAAATTAGTAGCTTCCAAATATGTCACTTTAAAACATTAAACTTGATGAAATTGGGTAAGCATTTTCAGTGGCATAGTGAGGCTACCTTTGCACCTTAGTGCTATATCATTAGGCATGGTCAAGTTGACATCTAGAGATGAATCGAGTGAGTACCACTAGGGGTGTCAATTGGACTGGATTTGGTCCAATCCGATATAGTCCAATGTGAGTTCATTATAAATGAACCAGGTTCAATCAAATCCAAGGAATGTTTTGGACCAATTTGGATACCATCA